TATCCCATTGGTGCATTTTATTTTCTGTTTAGAAATAACTGCTTTGGGGTATCGTGGGAGGGATAGTCGTGATTGTTAGACAATGTATGTTGATTAGGCAAACTGAAACTAATCAATGAAATGTGTCATGGAACTTGACGGTTAATTGAAATACATTAATTGTATGTGATTGTGTGATTGTTATATAGAACCAATGTGTTAATATGGTTGTTGTGTAGAGGGAGGAGATAGGGGGATTGTACTCCGCGCGGTTTAGGGGAGATTAGGGGATGTACCTCTTAAACCGGGGGATAGCGTATTTGGAGGAGGATAGGGGAATTGTACTCCCGTAGACAGAGCTCATATGCTTGTCTAGAGAAGTGAAGATAGAGCTCATATGCTTATCTTTTGAAGTGTTGAGATACAGCCTGTATGCTTTATCTGTGGATATTGTTGATATCAATCTGTGGTAGATGTGGATCAGCTTGTTATGTTATTCTGTGGATTGTGATGTACATATCTGTTGTAGAATGTGGATCTACAGCTGTGTATCTTCATCTGTGGATATTGTGAGATACATAATCTGTTGAGATTTGTGGATATAGTCTTTTATTTGCCTTATCTGAATGTGAGATATAGTTATACAATCTGAAGGAAATTGATGATAGAGCTTAGCATGCTTATCTGTTGAAAAAGGAAAAAAAATTGAAAAGTAAATGGGACTTGTAAGTCGTTGACATAAATATGTAAATTTATGTGATTGTATCAGTGGTTGACCAACTATTCAATTGCTAATGTTTTATCATTGTCCATGGTTGGTTTAGTGTATTCTTACTGGGCTGTGGCTCCACCCTATATGGGGACATTCATTTTCAGGTGCTAGGAAGGCATGCCACCTCCAAGGACATAGCTGGAGAGCTAGTGGCGGCATGTTTTGTTGTTGTACTTTTGATGTATTACATTGTAATTTCAAAGCCAAGGGCTTAATGTGTTAAACGAGTTAGAACTCTTGTTGTAACCAAGTGTTGAACTTGGGAAAGCTGTAAGCCGCGTAGGGCATTTTGTTATGTGATTAAACATGTAAGTACTTATGATAATGGAATTCTAATGAATTATAGAAGGTGTTAGTTATCTATTAACCTTCTTATTGTTGTTAATGTTATATTTTAGGGCTTACAATTTTCAGGTACAGGGTGTTATGCCGACCTCCAAAGACGCAGCTTAGCTTGAGCTTGACTCTTTGATGGTTTTTGTTTGCTATTACATGTATATCAAGCAAGGGCTTATTTGTTAGAGTTAGTACTTCTCTCTTTGTAACCAAGTGATTGACTTTGGGGGAAAGTTGAAGCCTTTAGGGCATTTACTTTTTGTTGTCAACATGTAATACCGTGTGTAAAATACTTCTGATGATTATAATACTGAAATCTCTTTCCCTTTATCATGAATGGTAAATATTATTTATTGAGGCATACCAGTTTCTACAACGGTCCGTGACACGACCACACACGTGTCTTCTACAACGGTTCATTACGACCACACGGTGCTTCTACAACGGGTCTGACACGACCATTACAGGTGTCTTTTACGGGTGGTCCGACACGACCACACAGTGTCTATCTACAAACAGTTCGATACGACCACACAGTGTTTTTCTAACAACTGTTCCGACACTGCCACACAGTGTCTTCTACACCAGTCGACACGACCATACAAGTGTTCTTCTACACCGGGTCTGCCACAAAGCCAGTACCAATTCTTCTACAACGGTTGACAACAATCATACAGTGTCTTTTATTTTATTTTTATTTTTTTAGTTATTTTCACGGTTTTGTTTCTCTCTCTAAACTCAATTGTTTGTTTGGTATCTATCCTCCTTGATTTTGGAGGGGGGCTATTAGTTAGTGTATATAAATTTTAATATAGTGTTAATGTATATATATCATATGATATAGTGCATTTTACCATACACCTACACACCTACCACACCTACTACACCTACCACCAATGTATTCTCTCCTATATATAGGAGCTCTTTTTGCTACACAATTCATACTATAGATTCACAACAATATATTCTCCTCTCTCTTTTATCATTCTCTATCATTATTCTAATTAGAGAGAGACAGACAGAGAGACTAAAGCGGGAGGAGAAAAGGCTGCCCAAAACCAGTATGCTCTCTGCTATTTACTCTGCAACTCCTTTCTTTTACCTCTCTTCCTCTAACACATGGCCTCGATCTCGTCCCCTTATTGCTCTTTTCCAGATCTTAATGATCCCCATAAGGCTCCCTGGACCAAGTGCCTCACTCCTACGCCTTCCTAAACCTTCCGACGTGTCAGTTAGCAAATAAATGACAGCTCAACTAACATTGAAGCTAACCACTATACGTTGAAGTCCTGTATGGAACAGTGGCTCGGTCTCCAATTTGTTTTCACCGGACTGCAGAAACAGGACAATTGTCTCAGTCTTCCAACTAGAACGAAACCAATCCTCCAAAATGATGATAAGTGCTTTCAGGAGTAATTCACAAAAGAACCGAAATGGGCAAAAAAAGTGTCTGAAAACAAATACAGGAATCAAATATTATATTTTGTTATTTCATATGTAATGGAATAGAATATATTCCCACAACTATACACAATTATTAACCCTTTTGATAGTTATGCAACTCAGAAAAGAACTACTAAAAAGTAATATCACACTTGAAAAAGTACCAATCAGGTTAAAAAATAAATAAAATGTAAACACAGGGATAGAAAGAATCAAAAATTACATAAGAAAAAAAAGTTAAATTGAACGATTCCGTCACCAAGAGAAAAAAAAATAATAAAAAAACCTAAGATTATGTACATCTAACTATCAAGATACAAAAACCCAATGAATTTTCGAAAAAATAAAACACACACAACCCATACACAAAAAATAAAAATAATCAAAGAATGATTATGATTTCTTTGCTTTCCATAAAAGTAAAACCAGTATTTTCACCCAGAAAATAAAGCATTTTTGAAAGAACTAGATGAAATTACAGTAATACAGGAATGAGAGAAATGAAGTACAGATCTTTGCTTTAGCGGAATTAGGATTAAGAATCGCTAAAAGATTGAAACACCCAGGACTCGTGCTGAACTGAAAGAAAAGGGTAAAAAAGCGAATAAAACTTCTTTAACAGATAAACAATCCATATACCTTGAATGAATGGAATTTTATTGTAGAGACTGGCTATATATTATATGTATATGTGTATGCCAAGGATTTGGAAGCAACAAAACAGAAGAAACCTAAATCTCGGACAGCTGACTCGATTCAAAGAGGAGAGAGAGTGTTGAGTGAAGAAGAAAAATACAAGAGAGAGATGTGGTTGCATGATGAGGGCAACTTTTTAAACAAAATTGGGCTGCAGCTAGGAAAGGAGTCTTCTTTGGAGTTGGGAGCGTAATGGGCCGGACAGATAAGGGCTGGTGTAGCTCGGTCTAGGCCAAGAAGACACTCATATTTTGGGTTGGGCCGAACTATGCTGGACCGAGGTTATCGGTTGGTAGAAAGAGGACCGAGCTTAAACCGATAGCTCTACAGGGCGGTCATCTCGAAGTCAAGACGAGAGATTAGTGCTTAAAGTTCATCACAGAGCCGAAGTAACTTGGGCTGACCGCAATGTTTAGCCGAGGTAAAGGATGTCAGGCAAATAAGGTGGGCCTTGAATGGTTAGCCGAGGTATTAGTGAGAAAAAGGATGTTCGGGGCTTGATAGCGCGGCCGGTTCTTGGTATAACTCAGCCGGGCGCCCATCTACATCATTACTTAAGCGTCGTGACCGAGGTAACTGAGCTCAGGTGTCGGTTGCCCAGCAGCTTATTAAAAGGGGGGTAGCATCAATGTGGCGAGGGGCCGAAGCTGTGTTAGTCGCAGGGGTGGCTCCGTGTAGATCGGCTTTCGATCACCACAGTCCAAGGGCAGGGGACCGAGATAAAGCAGTTCGGGCAGGGAATGTATAACCGAGGGTAAAAAGGTTCAGCCATCTCACTTGGGCTTGCAGTGATTAGGGATCCAGTAGGACTCTTGCTAAAGAGAGTTTAGAGTCCTACGGATTGTGTAAACCATCTCACTTGGTTGGTAGGAGTTAGGGGTGTGGATCCTAGGAGGACTCTCAAGGAGAGTTGGGAAATCCTTCTAGGGATTGTTGCCCAATAAAGTCTATAAAAGCTCCATGATCAGACCTATGATAGAGGGTATCCCAATTCTTACTCTTAGAATACACAGGAGCATATTGTCTATTGGTTAGTTGCTGACTTAGGCATCGGAGGGGTTTCCGGGCAACAACACCCGCCGGTTAGCTCACATTTGGTGTTTTCAGGCGAATAAAGCGACGACGTATGGAGGAGCGCAGGACTTGATCACACAGGATTATGAGAAGATTTATTTCTTCCCGTACAGTGCGGGGAAGTCCTCTATCCATATTTTCCATATTTTATCTTTTTCTTTTTGTCTTTTGTATTTTAGGAAGAGCTTAAAAAAAAAAAAAAAAATTTAAAAAAATATATGTATTGTATGATGCAAGAATTTGGCTAACAAACCGACTAGTTGGTTATAGAAATAGGTATTGAAACTGTTTTTTTTCTTTAATTAGGAGATTTAAGAAGAGATTTAGAAAGAGAAATACAAATAATAGATAAAATATGAATAGAATATATATACATTTCATCTGATTTCATATATTTTATTCATTTTATTTTTCAAATTCCTTCCTAAATTTTTTAACCAAGTACAGCGTAAAAAAATTAATTTGTGAAAAAACCAAAAACAGTTTTATAATATGAAAAGGGACACTAGAATATATTTTAATTGTTAAGGTCACCTAGTTCAATTTTTACAACAAATTCATGTGAGTGAATATTGAAGATCCTCCTAGTGATAGTTTTGTGGTGTAATTTGTGCTTTTAGTGAGAGTGCCACATGTCAAAATGAAAGGAATGGAAGGTTGAGATTGTGTCTTACTAATCCACGTCGATTTAGATTTTTTAATTTTTCAATTTCTTATTATTTATTTATTTGTGGGTGGAGAAGTGCTGCGGCTCATTTTTTTGCTTCTGTTTATTCTTTCATTCACTTATTTTTAAGTGATTTGTGAGGTGTGACATAAAAATTGAGAGGGACTCAGTTAAAAAGTCTAATTTAATTTTTTTTTTATTAAAGATTCACAATTTAAATTATTTTATCGATAAAGATAAATTCATACAAAATGACCAAACTAGTTTAGCTATATATATTCAATTATACACCGTTAAAATATCATCAAAACACTCTTCTACTACTACACACTCTCTCTCTTTCTCTCTACATCTGCGGTCACTCGTTACTTGTCGCCGTCACCATCGTGGCAGTCTTTCCCTCCTCGCTTTGCACGGCATCTACAAAACCAAACTCATTGACGGTTCAACCTCACTCAGATTTGGTTCTTCGGCAAATCTCATACTTCAGTTTCATCTCATTTAGATCTGGTTGTACAGAAATCAACGGAGTTAGCTTTGCTGTGAGAGCCATGCTGCTACGGCAGACATCGACCATCCCCGTCGCCGGAGTGATGCTGATGAGCGAAGATCAAATGCTTATAGGTATAGATCTGCAACGGAGGAACATGAAAGAGAGAACTTGCAGATCATTTATCTATATAGGTATAGATATGCACGTGTATGCTTATGTTGTTTCATGGGTGTAACACTGTGGATCTACTGATGTAGGTCTAATTATGGTACAAAATTAGTGATTTTGGTAACTGTTTTTAAAAAATAGAACCAGATCAGATTCTCACTGCACTGGTATGTTGTTCCGTGGGTGTGACGCTATGGATCTACTGATGTATATATATATATATATATATTGATTCTCTGTTCTAGCAAAGAAATGTGTATGTGTATGTTGTAGTTGTTGATTGACAAATGTTGCATTTAAACAAATAAAAAGAAAATCTGTTGTTTATTGAACAAATTTGTTCAAAAAATTGAACAAATAATATATAAAAAAATGATGGAATTTCAACAGATAATTTGAATATACATAATTTTTGAAGAGATAAATTTCAACAGATAACTTTTATTTGGACAAAAATTAAACAGATAAAAACTTCGACATATAAGAATTTCAACAGATAGATTCAACGGATAACGACAATTTTCAATAGATAAAAATAATTTGAACTTTACATTGAAAAAATTTGAACAAATAGATAAAAATTTTGAACAAATAGGGAAAAAATTTCAACATATAGGAAATTTTTTGAAGAAATAGGAAAAATTTCAACAAATAGATATAAATTTGAACAAATAGTCAACGAAGTGATAAAAAAAGTCAAAAAGTAAAATTAGAAATAAAATGTTCTTCAGGACTTCCTACCAAGTTATTTTTCAAAACGTGGACCTCTCAATAATAAAGAATATTTACTAAACCTAACACGTTAGATAATTGTTAAAATGAATTTTTTATCAATTTTCCCAAATTGAAATTACCAAAGAAAAGCAAAGTATCCAAAATCTCCGGACCATGTTTGGACCCACTTGGCCATTTGTGATTTGCTTGTTTACCCCAGGTTTGGCAATTTCACTTTCCAAGCAAAGTGATTATCTCTACTCTCTCCCCTGTTGCTCCACTTTCATGTTTTTAATGACTTCCCCATACTGAGAAATCCATTAAAAAAGTATCAGAATTTTTATTTTGTTCTATTTTTGTAGGTTTGAATTCTTCTTTTTTGGGTTATGTAAAACTATCTCATTAACTTAAAAAAAAAAAAAAATCAAAAGTTAAATTTTTTAAGATCATCTAGTTCAGATAAACCTAAAAGTAAAGTCGTTTGAGTCCATTTAATAATTAAGCAATCACTAAAGACGGAAAAAAGTCAAATTAAAATAACCAACGCCCAAAAGAAGTGCAAAGTCTAACAACAAAATATTAATACAAGACATCCTGTTTAATCACCGGTAAAATTAAAAGACAGCAGAACTTTGATTCCCATGTTTTATGGTGTGTTGGTTTCGAAGTATAAAACTCACCTGAAATCATCTTACTTCTATTTATGTTCCTTTATTTTCTAATCTTTTGTTGACCCTAGAAAAGAGAAGCGGGCTTCAGGTGGAAGAGTTCCTTAAGTCCTTTTCTTGTACTTTCTTTTCAAACTTTTTCTTTCTTAGCCATTGAACAAAAAGTCAAATTTTAATATCTTCAACTAATGACTGGCTCATTTTATTTCTGCAATAAATATTTTAAAAGTTTACACATATGATATATACCCTCCAAACTAAAGATCCACAATCTTAAAATATTCTTCTGTTACAGTTCCATAGATTGTCCTCTTTTAAGTTTCAAGGCTACCCACTTTCATCCTTCCTTTTGGATAGAACAAGAGAAAAGAGTACCAAATGCTTATCGCCCTACCATAACAAATTAACAACACTATCAGTTACTAATTATAAAGTATAATAGTAGTCCCATTCACAACACGACAATAATACTACTAGACATAATTAAACAAATGAAACATAAGAGTAATTTACAAGTAACACAGTTTAGGTGACGATCATTATCATTGCACACGATAGAACGTTTAATCAAACATAGAAATACAAATAATCATGAATGTGATTGCAAAAACCCACCTGTTTGCCCCTTTAAAACTTTTGAGAGACACCAAGCAAAAATTAAAGTTTGTTCCATTGTGTTCCGCACCCTCTAAATACGTATTCAAGTGGTGGTAACCACTGGTGTTCTGTCTTAGGCTGTATTTCAATCATTAATTTGGATACGAAAATGTGTGTGAGTTCCGTAACGAATATAGCTCATCTTATATTGTGTTTTTTGAACTTGTTTTTACCAAGACTTAATTTCAAACACATCATTTGGATTTTATGGTTATTACCTTTGCACTTCGGTTCTGATTTACTAAATTCCATGTCGCATAATATGTTGATACAGCAGGCAAAAGAGCATAGAAAACATGATTCTCATTTCTTTATAGCTCCAACAGGAAGTTGTACTTATTTATTTACTTTTATTGTTGTCATCGTTGTTGATGTAGTGTTAAAATTCACCTACTACACACCTACCACTACCACCTACTACACACTCACCTACTTCACCTACTCTCATTGTACTCCTCACCTACTCCATACCTACTACACACTCACCTATTCTCTTCCCACATCCTCTCTTCTATATATAGGAATCATTGTAATAGATCAATATATCAATCAATAATAAGATGATCAGATACATTTATTCTCTCTGTATTGTTCTCTTTATACATTGATTTTCTACATGGTATCAGAGCAGATTTAGAACCTAGTATTTTCGCTTCCCCGGCGGGCGGCAACCCCACCTTAGCCGCCTGCCGGACCTCAACTTATTCCGCTATCATTTTTTCTTGTCAGAACATCTCTGTGTACTCTTCTAGGTTCGGTTAATATACTCTCTATTGTTACTTACAATGCTCAGAGATCTGGTTACCTTCAAAGGCCAGAGGACATGCCCACTTCAAGGCAAGTTTACAAGATCTACCCGAACAACCCCGGATCGGACCTCGCCGGTGAGACCACCGCCGCTATGACAGCCGCTTCTGTTGTCTTCCGCCACCACAACCCCTCCTATGCCAATGAGCTCCTGCATGTTGTCATACTCCTGTGCAAAGAAAGTGTTTGCAACAGCACATTGTCCCAGCCGAAGTAGAAGACTCAGTACACTCCTGGAATGTAATGGGTGTTTATCATCTAACATGATTAACAACAGAGGAAGCTTTCTCATCCAAGTAATCTGATAGTCTAACAATTCTGGATCACTTGCATCTAGCTGCTTCAAGCCTTGTCTCGGAACCAGCATTTCTTCAATTGCAGAAAGGCAAGTCCATTTCAGTGAAGACTCTCGCTTGCCCCTTTTGAAAGTCTCTGTAAAAGCCTGTAGAATACGCGACTTCCAAAACCCCACTACTTGGAATACAAGTTTCGGAATAAAAGGAATTAGTGAAACTATGTGCTTTTCATGGAATGCTTTACCAGACTGTGTGCCACTGCATATCCCTTCAGAGAGAGCACATGTATCTCCTCTCTTTCTCTCTCTCACTTTACACCCAAGAGGTGCACTTTACTTGGTCCAAGAGGTGCACTTTACAGAGCTGATGTTACGAGATGGTGGAATTTATCTTTTACTTGGTCCAAGAGGTGCTCTTTATGACAGTCCATTATACCTCCCACTTGCCTATGACCCACCGAATTACCTATGACCCTCTATTATACCTCCCACATGCACTTTATGCTTAAAACTTTTTTTAATCACCCCACTCCCTCTCTCTCTGGTCCCTTTTGTTTTTTCTCTCCACTCGACCCACTTTAATCATATCCCTCATTTCTCTTACTTTATACCACCCACTCATGTTTCCCACTATATGCTTTCTCCATTCATATATTATTTTTATTTTTATTATTATTATTATTATTATTATTATTATTATAAATAAATAAATAAACATAAAAATACATTCAAAAAAAAAATATATATATATATATATTTCCAAACACCATTGCTGTTTTTCACAAATCCGTATAGAACCCATCTTTCATTTTGATTTCACATTTATTCTTATTATTTCTTTCTTTATTTTTCTTACACCTTATTTTTAATCTTTTTTCAAATTCCATTCATACCATATAGCTTTGCACACTAAACCATCTTTTATTCATCTCAGGGATCAACCCCGTTCACAATTTTACACACAAAAAAAAAAAACCAATACAACCACATCCACAGTGGGATTTTTCTTCTCTACTCTGCTGCAGGTCTCTTCTTCTTGCCTCCGTCTTGGACAGTCCTTGCTGGTGTTGCCTCCGTGTTTCCCCCTCCACTGGGCCCGATCACTACTCCCTGCTCCTCCACTGCCGCATATGGCGGACCTCCAAATCGGAACATCACGGTGGCCTTCCGCTTCAGCTCCTTGTTTTCTATCTTTAGCACACTTATCTCTGCTCGCGCATCCTTATACATGTGTTGAAGCAGAGCCAGCTGGGAGTTTAACTGTTGCACCTCATTTGTCCTGCTCTGCAGCCGGTGCGACAAGTTTGTGACCGCAGTCATGGTTTCCACACATGACTTCAGAGTATACTGATTGGCCTCAATATCAGTTTGCACCGCCATTTTTTGCTCCACCGACCGCATCGGAAAGTTCAACGGAGCAAAACCAGAGGTGTTTGGTTGAGGTTCACGGGCCACCGCACTAGTTATCTCTCTTGTGGACTTGTTGAGGTCAGGAAAGAGAGTGAGCAGACCACGGGAAGAAGAGGCCATGTTTTGGGTAGCTGAACGGGAAGAAGAGGCCATGTTTATGGGTTGCTGAGTGTTTCAGAGAAGGGCTGGTTACAGAGTGTTACAGAGTATCTCTCTCAAGACAACGAAGAGTTTCTCAGAGGTTTTTAGCCAGTTTTTTGTCTTAGCCTCTGCCTCAGCCTCAGCATCCGTCTTGGTTAAATAGCCAAGGCAGACACGCGCATCGCGCGCCACTTGACGCCAGACGACAAAACGGGCACGCAAGCCAATGTGGTGACACGCCTCGCCATCATGTCCGGCACATCTTTTTATGACTTGGGCTCGCCTTTTGATGGCACGCCTTTTTATGGATTGGGCACGCCTTTTTATGCATGCCTTTTGAAAGATTGGGCACACCTTTTGAGGGTGCGACTTTTTAAGGGTCCGACAAGACTCTGTAAACTGTCCCGACATTGATTCCGGTTAGCTCCTTCATGGGTCCGACAAGACTCTGTAAACTGTCCCGACATTGATTCCGGTTAGTTTCTACAAGGGTCCAGCAAGACTCCGTAAACTGTCACAACAACTGTCACAACATTGTCTGCTACAACGGTCCGACATGACCCCATAAACTGTCGTCTACATCGGTCTGCCATAACCATACAGTCTTCTACAACGGTCTGACACGACCATACAGTGTCTCCTATCCTCTTTTATTTTATGTATTCGTCTATTTTCTTGTTTTGTTAGTCTCTCCAAACTCAAGTTGGTTAGTTCCTATCCCCCTTGAGTTTGCGGGGGGCTGTTAAAATGTACCAAAACCTACCACCACACCTACTCTACCCACTTCACCTACTCCACCTACTACATACCTACCTCCTCTAATCTTCTATATATAGGATTGTAAACATAATAATATATATAAATCAATAATACATCAATTTATTTTAACATATGTATATATATGTAGGTGAGTAGCAGGATGTCTAGTCCTAGTGAACCATGTTGAAGATTACCCAAGGTTTATGAAGTCAGCCTTGAAGCACCTCTTGGATGAAGCTTTTGTCTTTTTTACTTTTGTTGGTCATGTTTGACCACACCTTGTATTTATCCCTTTGAATTTTGAAAGATAATGACTTATATTTGTGTTTGAATGATTTTTAGATATATGTAATATCTTTATGTATATGATCAACCGCCATTTTTTGCTCCACCGACCGCATCGGAAAGTTCAATGGAGCAAAACCAGAGGTGTTTGGTTGAGGTTCACTGGCCACCGCACCAGTTATTTCTCCTGTGGGCTCGTTCAGTTCTGGAAAGAGAGTGAGCAGGTTCTGGGTAGCTGGACGGGAAGAAGAGGCCATGTTTTGGGTTGCTAAGTGTTTCCGAGCAGGGTTTACAGAGTATTTCAGACTGCCAAAATTCAGGGGTTTCAAACTGGTTTGCACAGCCTCTGCCTTCGTCTTGGTTATATAGCCAAGGCAACCACGCGCATCGCGCGCCTCTTGACGCCCGACAAACTGGCACGCCTTTTCATGGCACATCTTTTGATAAAGTGGACACGCCTTTTGATGGCACGCCTTTTGATGAATTGGGCAAGCCTTTTGATGGCACGCCTTTTGACAAAATTAGGCACACCTTTTGAGGATGCGACTTTTTAAGGGTCCGACAAGACTCTGTAAACTGTCCCGACATAGATTCCGGTTAGTTTCTACAAGGGTCCGACAAGACTCCGTAAACTGTCTTCTACAACGGTCCGACATGACCCCATAAACTGTCTTCTACAACGGTCCGACACCACCATCCAGTGTCCTCTACACCGTTATGACACCCCCATACAGTGTCCTCTACAACGTTATGACACCACCATCCAGTGTCCTCTACACCGTTATGGCACACCCATCCAGTGTCCTCTACCACGTTATGGCACCACTTTTCAGAGTCTTCACCAACGGTCTGACACGACCATACAGTGTCCTCTATCTTTTTTTATTTTTATGTATTTTATTTTTTTATTTTTATGTATTTTCTTGTTTTGTTCCTCTCTCCAAACTCAAGTTGGTTAGTTTCTATCCTCCTTGAGTTTGCGGGGAGCTGTTAGAATTTACCTTACCTACTACACTCCACTACCACCTCCACTTCACCTACTACACTCCACTACCACCTCCACTTCACCTACTACACTCAACATCTCCTATATAAACAGCACCTCAACATTTGTAAATTACAACACAAATCAATCTTGTAATACATCAATCAATAATATACTTCAATATTTTTACAGATAGCTATCTAATCAGATTTGTTTTTTTTCAACTGTTAATTATAACACCATCCATTTTTTTATACAAAACTGATTTGATCATGTAATTATCGATATCCAATCAGTGTGATTTTTTTAAGACATATAGTACTCGACGAGTTCTACACATTAACGGTTCAGATTATCAAAATGGGACCTGTGATGGCCCCCCATGGGCCGAACAACAGTGTGTTAAAATTACACCCCAACTGTGCAATTTTTCTTAAAAAATGCAGCACAGATCTGAACGGGTTAGATTGATGAGTTGTATGGTTGTGTGTAAAATTAATTTTTTTAATATTTTTTTTGATCAATAGTGATAACTTATTAACTTTTTGAGTAGTTTTTTGACTTTTTATCTTTTTTCTGACATGCCAAATTTTGCCTTAGTCTGTTTGGCTAGAATGTTTGTATCTCACTAGGAGATCATGTCTTCGCCGCCGACCTCCTCGGACACGGCCGATCCGACGGAATCCGATGCTACCTCGGCGATCTCGAAAAGATCGCCGCCACGTCGCTGTCGTTTTTTGTGAGTGTTCGACACAGCGAAGAGTATAAGGATCTGCCCGCGTTCTTGTTCGGCGAATCTATGGGCGGCGCCGCCACCATGTTGATGTACTTCCAATCGGAGCCTTCTACGAAGAACTTGCTTGTCCGCGGGTGCGCCTCCTTTTTCTGCTTTGGTCGCGCTGCCGCTGGACTTGAGAGCCCATCTCCTTTCAAAGTAGGCCCTGCCCAACAGCAGGACATCCTTCCTGCCCCCCCTGTTACTGACAAGGGCAAGGATCATATCCATACCACTGACCTTGTTGAAGATGATAGTAATACAGGAAAGCTTGCTCTTAAGAGCAACTTGAAGAAGCCTACAAATACCCTTCCAGTTTCTGGTGGGGTTGTTAGTGAATGTGAGGTATTGTGTGAGAATGGACGTGACATCCCTGGTCATATGGAAAGAAGGAAAGTACAGTGGACAGCTGCTTCGGGAGGAGAGATTGCTCAGATCCGGGAATTTGAGCTCAGTGATGTGGGTGGATCGGATGATGAATTTGACAATGGGGATGAAAGGCACTGTTCATGCAGAATAATGTAGCTTTGGATTTACTAGAAGAGAGAGCCCCTCAACTTTCTTTTTCTTTTTTTTATTATTTTACTTCCTCTTTTTTTTTGCAACGCACACGCCACACAAATGGCTCTGCACATGCACTTTTTGATAACATTATTTTTCTTTATTTTTTATTTTTTTAATTCCATCCACTCCCTCTCTCTCATCCCTTTTTTCTATCCACTACACCCATTTTCATCATTTCTCTGATTCCATTACAAGCAACCCACGTGATTCTCTTCTTATTATTTCTTTCTTTTTTATTTTTCTTTCACTTTATTTTTCATCTTTTTTTTCATTAAAAAAGAGGCAGAAGACCAACTGCACACCAACTTATTTTATTCATGTCGGGGCTCACCCGGATCACCATTTTACACTTCACAAAAAAAAAAAAAAAAAAAAAAAAAACTTTTGCCTCATAGAGTTTCTTCTTACCCGCATAAAAACAAAACAGCAACAAAATCAACCACATTCACAGGCAGGATTTTCTTCTCTACTCTGCCGCCGGTCTCTTCTTCTTGCCTCCGTCCTGGCCGGTCCTTGACGGTGTTGCCTCCGTGTTTCCTAGCCCACCAAGCAAGTTGCCTCCTCCATACTCTTCCACTGCAGCATATGGCGACCCTCCAAATCGGAACATCACGGTGGCCTTCCGCTTCAGCTCCTTGTTTTCTGCCCTTAGCACGCTTATCTCTGCTCGCGCATCCTTATACATGCGTTGGAGCAGAGCCAGCTGGGAATTTAAATGCTGCACCTCATTTGTCCTACTCTGCAGCCGGTTCGACAAATTTGTGACCGCCGTCATGCTTTCCACACATGCCTTCAGAGTATACTGATTAGCCTCAATATCAGTTTGCACCGCCATTTTTTGCTCCACCGACCGCATCGGAAAGTTCAATGGAGCAAAAACAGAGGTGTTTGGTTGCGGTTCACTGGCCACCGCACCAGTTATTTCTCTTGTGGGCTCGTTCAGTTCTGGAAAGAGAGTAAGCAGGTTCTGGGTAGCTGGACGGGAAGAAGAGGCCATGTTTTTGGGTTGCTAAGTGTTTCAGAGAAAGGTTGGTTACCGGGTGTTTCAAGATTTGCAGAGACAAGCTCTCCGAGCGTTCAGAGGTTTCAGACTAGTATGCACAGCCTTCGCCTCAACCTTGTTTTAAATAGCCAGGGCCAGCCACGCGCATCGCGCCTCTTGACGCCCGACAAACTGGCACGCCTTTTCATGGCACATCTTTTGACAAAGTGGACACGCCTTTTGATGGCACGCCTTTTGATGGCACGCCTTTTAAAAAATTGGGCACACCTTTTGAGGGTGCGACTTTTTAAGGGTCCGACAAGACTCTGTAAACTGTCCCGACATAGATTCCGGTTAGTTTCTACAAGGGTCCGACAAGACTCCGTAAACTGTCTTCTACAACGGTCCGACATGACCCCATAAACTGTCTTCTACAACGGTCCGACATGACCCCATAAACTGTCTTCTACAACGGTCCGACATGACCCCATAAACTGTCTTCTACAACGGTCCGACATGACCCCATAAACTGTCTTCTACAACGGTCCGACATGACCCCATAAACTGTCTTCTACAACGGTCCGACATGACCCCATAAACTGTCTTCTACAACGGTCCGACATGACCCCATAAACTGTCTTCTACAACGGTCCGACATGACCCCATAAACTGTCTTCTACAACGGTCCGACATGACCCCATAAACTGTCTTCTACAACGGTCCGACATGACCCCATAAACTGTCTTCTACAACGGTCCGACATGACCCCATAAACTGTCTTCTACAACGGTCCGACATGACCCCATAAACTGTCTTCTACAACGGTCCGACATGACCCCATAAACTGTCTTCTACAACGGTCCGACATGACCCCATAAACTGTCTTCTACAACGGTCCGACATGACCCCATAAACTGTCTTCTACAACGGTCCGACATGACCCCATAAACTGTCTTCTACAACGGTCCGACATGACCCCATAAACTGTCTTCTACAACGGTCCGACATGACCCCATAAACTGTCTTCTACAACGGTCCGACATGACCCCATAAACTGTCTTCTACAACGGTCCGACATGACCCCATAAACTGTCTTCTACAACGGTCCGACATGACCCCATAAACTGTCTTCTACAACGGTCCGACATGACCCCATAAACTGTCTTCTACAACGGTCCGACATGACCCCATAAACTGTCTTCTACAACGGTCCGACATGACCCCATAAACTGTCTTCTACAACGGTCCGACATGACCCCATAAACTGTCTTCTACAACGGTCCGACATGACCCCATAAACTGTCTTCTACAACGGTCCGACATGACCCCATAAACTGTCTTCTACAACGGTCCGACATGACCCCATAAACTGTCTTCTACAACGGTCCGACATGACCCCATAAACTGTCTTCTACAACGGTCCGACATGACCCCATAAACTGTCTTCTACAACGGTCCGACATGACCCCATAAACTGTCTTCTACAACGGTCCGACATGACCCCATAAACTGTCTTCTACATCGGTCTGACACCGCCATCCAGTGTCCTCTACACCGTTATGACACC